TATATATATATATATATATATTTGTCTCTGTTCTGACAGAACTTTATTACAGAGGTTATATGACCTTGGAGCCCGAAGGGTTCTAGTGACGGGTGCGGGGCCGATGGGATGCCCTCCAGCGGAGGTAGCCATTCACGGCAGAAACGGGCAATGTGCTGTGGAACTACAAAGAGCTTCCGCCTTGTACAATCCACAGCTCGTGCAAATGATCAATGGACTTAACCAAGAGTTCGGATCAAACATCTTCGTCAGCGTGAATGCATTAGACATGAACATGGATCTGATAAATAATCCACAGGCATATGGTATATAATAAATTGCTTTTCAAGTAAATTTCATTATCGTCCTTATTAAATAAGCAATCCGCAAAAGCACCGACAATCAGAATAGGGGACCCAAGATTGCAATGAAGGGACCTACTAATATGATAGTTATTGTTTCATGGTTCAGTAATATATATTTTTTAATTTTATTTTAAATAAATTTCTTTACAAGTAATTTCAGTTTGTAAGAAGAAATTTGCTTGTATCTTATGTGGGATATATTGGGACAGGATTTGTGACGGCCAAGATAGCTTGCTGTGGACAAGGGCCGTACAATGGACTAGGAACGTGTACACCAGTGTCAAATTTGTGCAACAACAGGAATCAGTATTTTTTTTGGGATAATTTCCATCCAACTGAGAGGGCCAACAGGTTGCTTGTGCAGCAAATGATGATAGGCTCCACCAAGTACATGCACCCCATGAATCTCAGCACCATCATAGCCTTGGATTCCAGGGCTTAATACTTATGTTTAAATAAGCTGCTTCATGCGGTGGTTATGCATAGTATATTTTTGTGCTGAATTATGTTTTTCTTTGTTTGTTGCTAAGCTTGCCTTTGTGCTTCTAGTGTTTTCTGATGATAAATCAGTACTATTGCGTCTAAATAACTTCAAAATTGGTGTTTTGTAGTAATATTAATTCTTTTAATATGAGTTAGGATAAACTTACACAATTTTTACTTACATTCCTTATATAGTGTAAGGATTTAGTCTGCCATTTATACTTGATGCACTCAAATCACTCTATCAAGGGTACTAGTCACTGCAAATAATATAATGGTGAAAAAAGTGTCGAGCCCACGATAATTGTGATTAACTAACTACCACAATAATTAATCTAAATTTATTTGAACAATCAAAAAGGAAAGAACTTTAATTAAAAAATAATAAAAAATAACAATTAAAATAAAACTAATTAAGATTATGAGGTACTAAGGTATGGATTTCTCCATAATCAATCAATATAAATTATGGACTAATATACTTCCAAAACTAATTCGTTGAGTGTTATTGTATGTGATGATGGATTTTCCAAAATTAATTAACCAGTTTTCTCAAATCAAGTTAATCCTTTACTTCTTTATTAAACTAATCATATCTCTATATAATTTTAAGCAAAATAATAAATATTAAATTCTATAGAAACCTTTAACTTAAGAAGGAAGAGCTCTTAACTTTCTTCTCATCCTCCACTACCACATGTGACACTAATTACCTATCGATCTCATAGTCTAACACACGATTTATATTATTATTGGTCTTATCTACGTAATTTTTTCTCAAATTCATGCATAAATCACTAAATCAATCAAAAGATGATCAAGCTTTCAGTGCATTAAGTTCAATAACATAAACTCATCATGCAAATAACTTTAATTGAAAGTATAAAAATCACAAAAATCACAAAAATCACAAAATCTATATTAAATTAATTAAGTTATATCGTAGTCCTAGTATAATAAATTAGTTCATAATACAAATAATAAAACCTGAAATTATAGCCATGAACATTCAAATATCAAACAATAGATAAAAAAAATCTAAAGAAAAACAAAACCCAATTTAAGAAACTTAAACTCCTTAATCTTTTATTATTGATGAATCATCTGTCTTGATTTCCATGAATATCCAAAAGAGAGCTACCAAAAGATCTCCTCCAAAGCTCTCTATTTTCTAAATTTGGATGAGTATTTATAGGATTTTAGAAATCCTAATTGGACTAAAAGTGAGACCCACACTTAAAATAATAAATTAGACACGTATTGCTTAAAACCACGCAAGGGGAAGACGTCAACACCTTCAACTAGGTGCCGACACCTTCTGCTAAGCTCACAGGGCGATCAATGTGTCAGGTTTTTGGCCTTCCAAGCAATGTTTGTTAATGGTAAAATTACAGTCTTGGTCCCTAACTTCTGGATTTTGCACAACTTAATCCTTAGCTTTTTAATCTCTACAATTTGCTCTTAAAAATTATGATTTCTTCTAATTAAGTCTTCTCCTACACATAAAATGAAAATTATGTAAAATTAAGTAAAATCTAATAAAACTCATTCAAATATCTATAATATCAAGACCAAAATTCCACATTAATATGTATATAAATTCAACTCATCAATACTATTCACTTTAACCCCCTCAGGTTTCATAGTTTTAAAATGCGTTAATAATTTAAAGTGCAGAAATTAGAAGTTAAGAGAATAGAAAGCTCAAGCACAACAATTTATAGTGGTTCAGTCACAATTTGTGCCTAGTCCACTTCTTCAACTGCTTGCTTAAGAGTTTGCTTTGGATTCAAAAGTTCTCCTCCAATTTTCGAGTGTAGAGGCAACTGTTTGTAATGATTTTGTCGGCACTATCCACCTTTAACAATTCAATCCCTTATTGCAATCTCTCACAAACCCAATCTTATACCACAATAATGGTTTTCTCTAAATCTAACAAGGTTACCCAATCACTTTCCCAAAAGTTTACAGGTGCTATTGAACCACTCAATTCCCTTGTTACTAATCTCTTAACCCCCTTCCTATAGCATAAGATGGATTTCTAAATCTAACAAGGTTTCCCAATCCATCTCTCACTTGTTATAATAAAAGAGAACAAGAACAAGTACAAGTATAGAAAGAGTTGATTTCTCAAAGAACAAA